TGGCCTCTGCATGTCCCATGCCTATTGCCAAGTGACCACAGACAGACCCGGCATTAGCAGCAGCCTTGGTTTACAGCTTAGACACTCTTGAGCACCACTGAACCTAGCACAAGATGTAGTTATCTGTAGACTGCTCTGCAGCTTATGCTGGGTGGCCCTGGACAGAACACAAGTGGTGGCTGACCTTGGCTTGCACTTCCTAGGAGGCCCCAGAGCCTGCACACCCAGTGGACAGCTACAGACCACGTCAGAGCACCACCACCCACCACCTCCACAAAGTGACACACTCAAGGGGCAGACTCAGAGGGCACCAGGGCCCTGCTGAAGTAAGTTCTGACCTGTGGAGTGGGCTCCTGTGGTAGAGATGTGATTAAATTACTGGGAAGGAGTAGGGAGAGGCCATAGGAAGAGGTGACCTGAGGCAATGGTAAATAGTCTAAGATGGAAGTGGCTGACAAGCTGAACACCTCTGGTGTTCATGGAGTTCTGGGCCAGAAGATTTAAACAAAAGGAATGCAGAAACGGGCTCTCTTTCTCTTCCTTGGGGATGTGTGGATGATTGCGCTGTAGCTGCCTCCTTTTCCCAAAGGATGGTATTTTTAAATGAGAGAAAGGGGGCAGCCTAGGAGTAGTATGGCCTGGCAGAGGGTGACAAGGTTTTCTTTGGGTGTTCTAGAGGAGCAGTCCTCAACCTTTTTGGCACAAAGCTTGGAAGACAATTTTTCCAAGCATGTGGGTATGGGGGAGGGACAGGAGACGAAGCTCAGGAGGTAATCCTCTCACTGCCAAGACAGCAGGCAGAGCTGAGGAGGTAATATGAATGAAACTTCTTTGCTTGCTTGCCTGACATTCACCTCCTGCTGTGTAGCCCAGTTTCTAATAGGCCATGGACTGGTAATGGTCCACAGCCTGGGGTTTGGGGGCCCCTGTATAGATGAGCTTTTAGGCAGAAGCCTGTCATTTTTCCAAAATTGTGTAGTTTTGTATATTATGTTGTTCTAGTTTGTAAACTAACCCTACAGAAATAGATAATTAAAAACCAACAGTGGGAATGATAAGGGGAACCAGAGAGCTAAAGATTTCAGCCTTAGTTGATAGGCTTGAGTAACTAATGGATATGAAAAGCTGTTCTTCCAAAATTTTGTAGGTTTTGAATCAAGACTCCTTTACTTTTTCACCAAACCTCTGCCTCTGGAATTTTGCCTAGAGGGTGGGAGCAGGCAGCAGGACCTCAGCTGCTATTCAGTAACACCTGTACAGATGATTCTCCATAGTGGTCAGAGGTGGGTGGTCGGTGGTCACAGCCTGTCCTTGCAGTTCATGGGTCTGGGTAAATCCCTCCCACTGACCTGCCGACAATAAAAACTCAACTATAAGAGGAGGGTATACTCAGCCCACATGGTGAGCACACCTTGAGTATACAGCTTGGGTGACAGGGGAAACTGTGCCACTGGCACCTACAGGACACTTACTACATTAGGTCACTCTCCAAGCCAGGAAGTTGTAGCAGCTCTACCTAATACGTAGAAACAAACATACGGAGGCTGCTAAAATGAAGAGACAAAGAAACATGGCCCAAATGAAAGAATAGAACCAAACTCCAACAGGAAAAATTACAGGGAATCAACAGTAGAGTGGGTGAAGTTGAGAGTCCAATCAGTGATTTAGTACATAAGGAAGTAAAAAATATCCTATCAGAACAAGAAGAAAAAAGAACCCAGGAAAAAAAATGAGGACAGTGTAAGGAGCCACTGGGGACAACTTCAAGCATACCAACATTTCCCATCATGAGGGTGTCAGAAGGAAAAGAGAAGAGAGCAAGAAATTGGAAACCTATTTGAGAAAATAATGACAGAAAACCTCCCTAACTTGGTGAAGGAAATAGACATCCAAGTCCAGGAAGCTCAGAGACCCAAAGAGATCCATATGAAGACACATCATAATTAAAATGCCAAAGGTTAAAGACAAAAAGAGAATCTTAAAATCAGGAAAAGTAGTTAGTTATCCAAAAGGGAGCTTGCATAAGACTGTCAAGACTGTCAAGACTGATTTCTGAAAACAAACTTTGTAGGATCAAAGGGATTGCCAAGAAATATTCAAAGTGATGAAAAGCAAAGACCTATAACCAAATTACTTTACCTAGCAAGCTATCATGTAGAATGAAAGGACAATACAGCTTTCTAGACAAGAAAAAGTTGGAGTTCATCATCACCAAACCAGTATTATATGAAATGTTAAAAGATCTTCTTTAAGAAGATCAAAGATATGAATAATAAAATAGCAATAAATATATATCTATCAACAATTGAATCTAAAATACAAAATAAATGAAAAGCAGAACAGAAACAGAATCATATAAACATGAGAATGTTTTGAGGGTCACCAGAGAGAAGTGGGGTTGGGGCAATGAGTGAAAAAGGTGAGGGGATTGAGTACAAATTGGTTGTTACAGAATAGTCATGGGGATGTAAAGTACACCAGAGGGAATATAATAGCCAAAGAATGTATGTGCCTGATCTTTGGACAGGGACAATGGTGCAAGGATGGCCTGAGGGTGTGGGTGGGGGTCTGGATTAATGGAGACCAAAAGGGGAAAATTGGGACAACTGTAATAGCATAAATAATAAAATACAATTTCAAAACAAAACAAACAAATTTTGCTGGTGGGAACATAAAATGGTACAAACTCCTTTAAAAATAACTACTGGCAGTTTCTCCAAATTACACATGTACTACATAATCTGGCTTTTCCTCTTTTAGGTGTTTAATCAAGGGAAATTAAAGCAAACATCTATACAAATATTTCCACATGAATGTTCTCAGTAGCTTAATTTGTAATAGTCCAAACTTGGAAACAACCCAAATAAATGGGGAAACAACCACTTGGTATCCATAAACAAATGAAGGGATAAACAAATTGTAGTACATCTATACAATGGAATACTAACTACTATACAATAAAAAAAATGAGCTATCCATATGTGCAACAAAATGGATCAATTTGAGAATAATTATGCTTTGTAAAAGAGGCCAGGTTAAAATGAATATATAACATACATTCTTAAATTTACATAAAACCCTAGAAAAACAAACCACTTACATGTATGTATATATAAAATATATATAAATAAACCAGACTGGTGGTTGCATAGGAATAAAGAAGGGTGAAAGAAAGGGGCTATAAAGGGATCTGGGGGAAGATTTTGGGTGGATATGCTTGATATCTTGAACAGTCATGGATTAATCGAGATATATCTATCTCCAGACATGAATTTTAAAACTTTAAATATGGTAGCTTATTGTATGTCAATTATACTTCAATAAAGCTGTAAAATCTGCCAGTACTAGGCCCATTTTCTCCAAGGAAGAAAGAGTTCTGCTAGAGATAAGTGTAGTCTTTGTATAATAACTCTAGGAATCACTTAGTTAAGTTTATTAAGGGAGTTAAGTTTATTAAGTTTGGAGTTAAGTTTCTTAAGGGAGTACCTTTACAGTCTGCACTGCTGTCTCACTGGAGATTTCTTTTGTCTGCTGAGATGAAGTACCAACAGATAATGCTTCTTAAACTTTCCTTGACTTTCACCTTTTATCTAATACTATATTTATCTTTAAATTTGTAAGTAACACCACCTTACTTTTACCAATATTGCTTTTAGGAAGGTGCTAGAGGAGTTAAACATGACACCAAGCCACTTAAAAATCTCCTGTGCCATTTTTGTGGTTAAATTTTCCTAATTCTTTCCTCAAAAAACTAAAAGTGGGACTTTCAATCCAGCAATGTCACTGCTGGGACTATACCCTAAGAATCCTGAATTACCAATTCAAAAGAACCTGTGCACCCCAATGTTCAAAGCAGCATTATTTACAATAGCCAAGTGCTGGAAACAGCCTAAGTGCCCATCAGTAAATGAGTGGATCAAAACACTGTGGGACATTTACACAATGGAACACTATGCAGCAGAAAGAAAGAAGGAACTCCTACCCTTCACAACAGCATGGATGGATCTGGAGGGCATTATGCTAAGTGAAACAAACCAGGTGGTGAAATACAAATACCATATGATCTCACCTATAAGTGGAACTTAATAAAACAAACAAATGAGCAAAATAGAACCAAAGACTTGGTTCTATAAAGAACAAACTGACAGTGACCAGAGGAAAGGTGGGAGGGGGTAACGGGGGAAAGAATAAAAGGAGCAATCAAAGGAACACAAACAGAAAACTCATGGACATGGACAATGGGGGAGGGATTGACTGTGAAAGTGGGGGAGGGAGACAGGGTAGGGGTGAGCAGTGGGGAAAAAGGAGGGACAACTGTAACTGAACAACTATAAATTAAAAAAACAATTTTTCCTAATTCTGTTGTGTTGCTACTGAATTTTGGGGCTACTTTTACTACTTCTTTTGTGAAGGGAAGGAAGGGCACGTATTTTTAATAAAATATCCTAAAATATCCTGTACTAAAGTTTGATGCTGTTATTTTTTCTAGTTAGAACTTACCCACAGAGATTATTGCCTTCAGGGGAAAAAATCTATTATGAATAAATAATATGACAATTTTAGGAAAAGGAAACTGGGGTTATTGTTTATGATTAAATCTGATTTTGTATGATTTACAATAAAGGGTTGCACAACTAACACATTAAAAAGCAAAGTAATAATATGCTTATGCATAATATAGCTTAGTTTTTACAAATAAAATAAAGGTGTCTTAGAACAAAGAAGTTTTCTTGAAAATATTTAATAAAAACACAATAGAAATGATAACATTTCTATAATATAAGAAATCAAATATCGTTGGCTTCAGAAAATAATGAACTGGATAAAATAGAACTGGTTTCTAATCTGGTTATATCACAAGAACCAACAGAGCTTTGTGCTGATTTTAATTCACTAGATATGTATGAGTAACAAAAATTCTATGGTTCAATAAACTATACCTTTAATTTAAAGGGAATAAAAATCTAGCAATAGAACATTAATCCATAAGCAATACTTACCAGTACCGGAATTTTGAACCTAATGTAAAGTAATGTGCAAAAAAATTCTTTTGAGGTGGAAGTGGTCTGTCCAAACGGAAGAATGTGTGATGTTCTACACATGCTTTCCACAAATTTTTGCATGCTCTGTAATTCACCATATTAAATCCCAACAAGGTTTCTCTAGATTCAAGCTGTAAAAAAATAAAAGCAGAGAATACCCAGAAAAATATCAAGAAATACTCCATTTCATCCACTTTTCACAGATATTGTAGCCTTACAAACACTAATCACTCTAGGGTTTGTTGTTGCTGTTATTAAAAAAAAAAAGCAGCAGAATAAAGGTAAAAATTTGTAAAATGTGTATCTCATTCAGTAATATTACAATTCTTAGGAGCTTTACTTTAGAACATAAAAATAAGTTTAAAAATCAATACATCTTTTTAAAAAATTCACTAGCTATAATTATTTCAAAATATTTTCCTGGTCCATAAATTAACTTTAAGATATATCATCACGTCTTTTAATAACATTTCTAAGCTTACAAATCTCTCTAGGTATTAACCCTGCAGTGGTCGCGCTTCTCAGTGGAGCATGAGAGGTAGCCTGGATGACATTGGTCATCCACTTTAAAAGTAGAAAATTAAATGAACAAATTTAAAAAAAAATTTTATTGATAATCATCTAAGTAACTTCTGTGAGAAAGATGGACTTTGGACTAAAACTGACAATTATTTTGCATGGATGACTGTTGTCATCCACATGACCACTCAAGGGTTAAATAAGTAAATAAAAATATTCAGCATTTTTAAATACTAATGAAACTCAAATTTAAAACTGAGCAACAGAATAGAAGCATTTCTTTAATTTTTCTCTGTAAGTTTGGCAAAAAATACTGTTTAAAAAGCTTCACTGAAGTCAGCTATACATAGTGAGGCACATGTCATAAGCGTACAGCTCTGATTTTCACACAATGAATGCAACCATTTAACCTTCAACCAGATCAAGAAACAGATCATTATTAGCACCTCTGATGTATCCATTGTCTCCCCTTTCTATCACATTACCTTGTTTTTTGAACCTTGTATACATGAAATCATACATATGTATCTTTAGGTCTGACTTTGGTTCAATATTATATTTCTATATTCATCCATACAGTCACAAATAAGTAATTCACACCTTTTCATTCTACATAGTATTCAAGCATATGAATGTATCATTATTTACTCACTTATTATTGACAAACACTTAATGTTTTCAGTTTGGACATGAATAAATATTGCCATATATACTCCTGCATGTTGTCTAATGCACATAAGTATATGTTTCTATTGTTGAATCATAAGATATGCATTGTGTTCACCTTCAGTGGATAATGCCCAGTTTTCCAAAATGGTTACACATATACATATGCTGCCTCCCACCAGCAGTGTGTGTTCCACGAACTCACTACTGATTTTAGCAATCTTTTCATCAAACTATTCTGGTGGATGAGAAGAAGTATCACATTTTGGTTATAATTGGTACTTCCCTGATGACTAGTGAGGTTCAACATCTTTTCATGTCACTGGCCATGTGGATATCCTCATTTCTGCACTGTCCATGAAGCCACTAGCATATTTTTGGATTCTGCTGGATATACAACCAAGGATGTGGTGTGTGTGTTATATACATATTCTGTAATACTTTATTCTCTTCTTAATGATGTCTTTTCATGAATACAGTTCTCGATTTCAACACAATCCAAGTTATTAAATGTTTCTTTAAAGGTAGTTTTCCTTCTATGTCCTGTTAAAAGAAATCTTTGCCGATCAGAAGCTCATGAAGATATTTTCCATAACTAAAATACAATAAAATGCCCATGTATAAGTATTAAATTACCATGCTAAAAGATAATATACTTAAAATATCACTTCTTGATCACCAGAGAATTCTTAATTCTGCTTAAGAGTTGCTTTGCATGCATTAACAAGTATAGTTACATGCTGTATCACATATCACAAACAATGAAAAATGACAGTGAATGTCTGAGTATGACTGTAGTAATTGTTCTCAGTGGAAGCAAAATCTTAGATGCCTTTATGTTCTCCTTTTTTTGACACTTTAAGTCCACATGTGATTTTAACGTTTTACCAACTGTATTGGGAATGTAACAAAAATTTCCCACCTGTATTGTAAAAAACAGGTATAGAAAACATGGAACTGGGATAAGTAGATTCTATTGCCCTGGTTGGAGTGGCTCAATGGATTGAGTGCTAACCTGAGAACCAAAAGGTTGCCAGTTTGATTCCCAGCCAGGGCACATGCCTGGATTACGGGCCAGGTCCCGAGCTGGGTGTGTATGAGTTGTTTCTCTTCCTCTCTTTCTCCCTACCTTTCCCTCTCTCTCAAAAATAAATAAATAAAATCTTTTTTAAAAATAAAGGGATATTTCAAAGAGAAAACATTAACGAGGCATCATTCTGCAGGGTATGCCTGTGTAGTATATAAATCCATTATTTTTTAAAATATATTTTATTGATTATGCTATTCCAGTTGTACCATTGCCTCCCTTAATTCCCCTTCATCCTGCACCTCCCCCCAACCAGCATCCCCCTCACCATAGCTCATATCCATGGGTCATATATATAAGTTTTTTGGCTTCTCCATTTCCCATATTGTTCTTAACCTCCTCCTGTTTATTTTTTACCTACCATTTACGCTACTTATTCCCTGTACCTTTTTCCCCATTCCCCCTTCCTGCTGCTAACCCTCCACGTGATCTTGATTTCTGTGATTCTCTTCTTGTTCTAGTTGTTTGCTCAGTTTGTTTAAGCTTTTGTTTTCTTAAGTTTGGTTGTTGATAGTTGTAAGTTTGTTATCATTTTACTGTTCATATTTTTGAGCTGCTTCTTTTTTTTTAGATTAAGTCCTTTTAACATTTCATATAATATGGGCTTGGTGATGATGAACTCCTTTAACTTGACCTTATCTGGGAAACACTTCATGTGTCCTTCCATTCTAAATGACAGCTTTGCTGGATAGAGTAATCTTGGATGTAGGTCTTTGCCTTTCATGGCTTGGAATACTTCTTTCTAGCCTCTTCTTGCCTGCAAGATTTCTTTTGAGAAATCAGCTGAGAGTTTTATGGGAACTTCTTTGTAGGTAACTCTTTCCTTTTCTTTTGCTACTTCTAAGTTTCTCTCCTTCTCTTTCATCTTGGGTAATGTAATTATGATGTGCCTTGGTGTGTGCTTCCTTGGATCCAACTTCTTTGGGACTCTGAGCTTCCAGGACTTCCTAGAAGTCTATTTCCTTTGCCAAATTGGAAAAGTTCTCCTTCATTATTTTTTCAAATAAGATTTCAATTTCTTGCTCTTCCTCTTCTCCCTCTGGCACCCCTATGATTTGGATGTTGGAATGTTGAAAGTTGTCCCTGAAGTTCATAACCCTCTCATCTTTTTGAATTCTTGTTTCTTCATTCTGTTTGGGTTAAATGTTTATTTCTTCCTTCTGTTCCAAACCACTGATTTGAGTCCCAGTTTCCTTCCTTTCACTGTTGGTTCCCTATGAACAATTTCCTTTATTTCACTTTTCATAGCCTTCAAGTTTTCCTCTAGTTTGCAACCATACTCAGCCATTTCTGTGAGCATCCCAATTACCAGTGTTTTGAACTCTGCATCTAATAGGCTGGCTATCTCTTCATCACTTCTATATTTGTTGGAACTTTGATCTGTTCTTTTATTTGGGCCATATTTTTTTTTGTCTCAGAGCACCTGTTACATGAAAAGGGGAGGAGCCTTAGGTATTTGCCAGGGCGGGGCAACGCACTTGGCTATGTTGTGCTCTGTCTGTGGAGGAGGGGTACAAGAGGTAATAATGCTGCCTGCATGGTTCTCAGCTGGCTTTCAGTCAATTCCTCCACTACCCACAAGCAAATTGGGCCCTTCTGGTGCTGATTCCCGGTTGGTGGGTTTGTGTATGTTCTAGGATCCTGTGGAGCTCTCCAAGGAGCTCTCCTGTAAGGTTGGGAGTTTCTCCAGCTGCCTCAACTCCCACAGATTTTTACAGTCAGAGGTTTTGAGGCTTTATTTCCCTGTGCTGGAACCCGGGGTTGTGTAGTCTGTCTCACTCCCCAGTTTTTCCCCTTGGTTTATCCTCATGCATATGTGGGATTGCCTGATCCACCAGCTGATGCCTTGTCAGCCCAGGTTTTCCAGCTGCCACCTTGCTTCGCATCCTCTCTACCCCAGCTGCCCATCTCTGCCCCTCCGACTGGTCTGCATGAATGTTTCTTCTTTAACTCTTTGGTTGTCAGGCCTCCATACAGTTCAGTTTTCTGGCAGTTCTGGGTTTTTTTGTTTTTAAATTTGTTGTTGCCCTTCTTTAGGTTGTGTGAGGCAGCACAGTATACCAATCTACACCTCCATCTTGGCCAGAAGTCTTTAAATGAATTATTAGTTGACTTTTTGTTATTGATATTACCCAAGGTTAAACACATTCCTAGTGATACATTACCTCAGACAATGGTTTTGAGGATTAAATGATATGAATATGATTGATATATTATCAGGCACATAGGAAGAGTGCAATAAATGTTTGTTACTAATAACAACAGTACTGTCATGGAACACAAATTTTAAAAGTTGACTTCTTTACTGTCATCTACGCATATAAACATTTGAAGTAAAATATTTGTTCTCTAGTTTCTGGATAAAAATTACCATATTTTACTTCTCTAAACATTTATTTGAAAGGTACAAAAATGTCCACAAATAGCATTAATCATAATAGCTACAACTTGAAAATGGGAAAATTGTTCACTAACATAAGACTGAGTAACTGATTTATGGTACATTCATTCAGTAGAGTACCATATAAAAATGTAATAAACCATTGCTACATGCAATAACATGGATGGATTTCACAATGTTAAGGGAAAGTAAGCAAACAAAAGGAGAACATTCTATAGCATTTCTTTTTTTAAAGTTCAAAAATAAACAAACTAATCCATCGTGATACAAATGAAAATAATGTTTACCTTTTGAAAGGGTTAATGACTGCAAGTGGGCATCATCTCTATTAGCAATAATACTAGCTTCTGGGGTGGTAGTAATGTTCTACATATAACATTATATATCATACACTTATTAAGCACTATACCTAATGTCTGCATACTTTTCTATTTCAATAAAAACTCTGTAGAAAAAACTTTCATATTTTCTGAGCATAAATGATGAATCATCATGACTTAGTAGATCAATGTCTTCTGATAAAATGCAGCTGAGTCTAATACATTTTTTAAGATTTTGAATACATTTTTACACATATACAACCATCTTGAAAAATCTGCATTAATTTGTCAATATCTTTAAGAAATAATGTTAAGTCAAAGGATAAGGTTAGTTTAATTTGATAAAATGGAGAAAGGTGCAAGATAAAATTCTTCTCAACACTGTATTTTCCATGATAATTCAATGTACTGTATTTAATATATAAAGAGAACATTACCACTACAAATACGAGAGAAATGTACTATATGTTCATGAACTAGAAACCAAACTAAACACTCAGGTTCCCTAAAATGAAATGAGCTTATATATGAAAAGCAGCACTATAGATTTAGTAGTAATAAGAAAAAGGACATATAAAATGCTCTCTTACTGCCCTCATGAATGGGGCCCGGGGAACTGATAATGAACATCATGACTGAGATCAGTTTCTAAGTTAAAGAGATAGTAGAATGGATAACTAGAAGAACTTTAAATCATAACCAGAGAAACACCAGGGAAATCAATACACCTTGTCATAAAATGTGAATTAATTAACTCAGGAGGCAGTTATCAGTAGTATTAATAATATTTTCACTTGAAATAAAAGTTCTGTCATAAATGATTTATCATTTAAGATTTCATTTTTAATAATTATTATATCAATACTCACCAATTCTTTTCTAAGTTGAATAAAAAACTGTTTGCACTTAAATGAAATTTTTACAATCTTCAACCTGGATAAAAAGTGAATAAATTGAAGTATTTAAAATACTGAATAAAGATGGAAACATTAGCAAATTAAATAAATCTTTGAAAAGATCAATGAAATTGGTAAGCGTCTAGTCAGACTAAGAAAAAAAGAAAGTACACAATTACTAATATCAGGAATAAAAAAGTAGACATTACTACAAATACCACTAATAATAAAAGAATACTATGATTAAGTCTACATCTATAAATATAATAATTTCAATGAAATAAACCAATTCTTTGGCAAAACTCACATAGGAAGAAATACTTGATCTAAATAGGCCCACAGAGAAGTCTCCCTTCATCTGTAGGGTATACATTCCAACACCCCAGTGAATGCCTGAAACCATGGATAATACTGATTCCTGCCTATGTTATGTTTTTTTCCGTATACCTACTTACCTTTTCACTTAAAGGAAGCAATTTAGGGCCTATTTTTGGCATATGCAAATTGTTAGCATCACTACTTTGGCACTTTGAGGGCATTATTAAGTAAAATAAGGGTTACTTCAACACAAACACTAAGATCTGGTAACTGTGAGGGCTTCTAAGTGACTAATAAGCAGGTAATGTAGAGTGAGGGTGCTGAAAAAAGTGATGATTCACATCTCTGGCTGGATGGACCTGGGGAGCTCAAGATTTCATCACCCTCTCAGAATGGCATGCAATTTAAAATTTATGTTTTGTTTATTTCTGAAATTTTCCATTTAATACTTTTAGATGATAGATAACAGAAACTGTGGAAAGCAAAAGGCAGTTGAGAAGGGAATACTATAGCTATTAAATAAATTTAATTAATAACCCCCCCCCCCCCAAAAGTCACCAGCCCAGGTGTGTCCACTGGTGAACTGCACCAAACATTTAAGTGAAACATTATACCAATTCTTTACAACCCCTTTTGGAGAAGCAGAGGGCATACTTCCAAAGTCATTCTGTGACGTCAGCATTACTCTAATAGCAAAACCAAACAAAGACATAAGAAAACTACCAAAAAATCTCTCATAACCACAGATTCAAATATACTAAATAAAATATTATGAAATGGAATTAACAATGTCCAGGTGGGATTTATTCCAGAAATGTGAGGCTGGTTCAACATTAGAAAATCAATTAATATCAACCAACAACTCAAAAGACTAAAAAAGAGAAAAAGTAATAAGATCCCATCAATGCATTCAGAATAAGCACTTTATAAAACCCAATGCCTAGTTATGATTAAAAACTCTCAGTAAAGAAGAGTTGGAGGGAACCTTTCTCAACTTGATAGCTCCTACAAAAACCCTGCAACTAACATACTTAATGGTATAAAACTGGAAGCTTTCCCACTAAGATCAGGTAAAATGCATGGATGCCCCCTTTAACCACTCCTTTTCAATATCATATGCAAAGTTCTGTTGATGCAATTAGGCAAGAAAAAAAAAAGAAAGACAATGACTGGGAAGGAACACATAAAACTGTCTTTGTTCACAGATGACATGGTTATCTATGTAGAAGATCAAAAAGAATTGACAAAAAATCTGAAACTAGTAAGTGATGATAATAAGATTGCAGGTACAAGGTTAATATAAAAAATCCAATTGTTTTCCTATATACCAACAATAAACAGGTGGGAATCTGAAATTAAAAGTACTATACCATTTATATTAGCACCCCTAAAATGAAATACTTAAGTATAAATCTAAAAATTACATATTAGGACTATATGAAAAAATTATAAAACTCTGATGAACAAAATCAAAGATTTAAATAAATGCAGAGATATTTAGTTCATGGATAAGAAGAATCGGATATATCTTCTGATAATTGTTTGTCAAGTTTTCAATTCTTTCTACTTTAATCTATAGATTCAATGCAATCCCAATAAAAATCTCACCAAGTTATTTGTGGATACTGTCAAATTGATTCTAAGGTTTATATGGAGAGGTCAAAGACCCAAAATAGCCAATGTAATGTTACAGGAAAAAACATTGGAGGACTGATGCTACCTGAGTTCAAAACTTTCTATAAAGCTATAGTAATCCAGAGAGTGTAGTACTGGTGAAAGAATAGACAAAATAAATCAATGATACAGAACAGAGAACTCAAACAGACATCCACAAGATTATAATCCCATGATTATAATCAAATGATCTTTGAGAAAGGAACAAAGGCAATACAATGGAGCAACGACAGTCTCAACGACAGTCACCAACAAATGGTGGTGGAACAACTGGACATCCACATGCAAAAATAAATAAATTTAGACAAAGATGTTAGATCTCTCACAAAAATTAACTGAAAATGCATCAGAAACCTAAATATAAAATGTAAAACTATGTAACTCCTATATTTAACATTGGGAAAAATCTAGATGACCTTGGGTATAAGACCAAAAAAATCTAGATGACCTTATAACACCAAAAAACATGATTCATTAAAGAAATAATTAAAAAGTTTGACTGCATTAAAATTAAAACCTTCTCTGTGTAAGGCAATGAATTAGAAGACAAGTCACAGACTAGGAGAAAACATCTGTAAAAGACACATCTGATAAAGAACTATTACCCAAAATATACAAAAAACTCTTCAAATTCAACAATAAAAGAAACAACTCCATAAAAAATGAGCCAAGCCCCTTTACAGACACCTCACCAAAAAAGATAAACAGTTAGCAAACATGTACAGGAAAAGACACTTCACATTAAATATCATCAGGGAAATGCAAATTAAAACAAGATACCACTACATACCTACAGAATGGCCAAAATCCAGAATACTGAAAATATCAAATGATGACAAGGATATGGAGCAACAGAAACTCATTCATTTTGGTGGGAATGCGACTTGGTACACAGCTACTTTGGAAGACTGTTTGGCAGCTTCTTAAAATGCTGAACATATACATACCACACCGTATAGAAATTGTACTCCTTGGTATTTAACCTACGGAACTGAAAACTTATGTCCACATAAAAATGTGCACATGAATGTTAATAGCAGTTTTATTCATAATTGCCAAAACTTGGAAGCAACCAAGATGTCTTTCAACAGGTAAATGAATTAATAAACTGTGGTACATCCAGACAATGGAATATTATTCAGTTCTAAAAAAAATGATGTATCAAGCCATGAGAAGATATGAATAAAAAATAAATACATATCACTAAGTTAAAGAATCCAATATGAAAAGATACAAACTGATTCCAACTATGTGACATTCTAGAAAAGGCAAAACTATGGAGAAAGTAAAGAGATTAGTGGGTGACAAGGGTAGCTGGGGAGAGGATTAGGCAGAGCACAGAGGATTCCTAAGGCAATGAAACTTCTCAGTATGATATAATGATGGGTATGTCATTTATACTTGCATATTTGTCCAAAGCCATAGAATGTATAATACCAAGAATAAACCCCAATGTAAATTATGGACTCAGGGTGATTATGATGTGTCAATGTCAGTTTTATCTTGGCAAACAATGCAACATTAAACTGAGTGTTGTTATGGGGAAAGCTATGGATGTAGGGGTGAGGGGATAGATGGAAATCTGTATCTTCCTCTCAGTTTTGTTGTGAATCTTAAACTGTATTAAAAAAAACAAGTCTTAAAAAATTAAATAAACAAAAACTATATGCAACATTTGGAGAAAAATGTTAAGACTTCAAGGTTTTATGCAATGATTCTAAAGTTTTTAATATAGTATTAAAAAAACAATCACTTTAAAATTTTACCTTTCTACATTGCCTTTCTTCTTATATGCAACTCATATTTTTAACCTTATATAATACTCAGATATTTTTAACCTTCAGACCTAAAAGTCTTGAGGCCAAGGGATTCAGTGCCACTTAACAAAACTTAATTTGGGATCCTGGCCCAATCACCTAAGTATTTTCATGGTAATTATAAGTTTGAATATTTATGAAGTACAGCACTATCCATTCAAGAAGTTCTCAGGAGAAGAAGAAACAAAGATTTAAAAGTAATAACAAGTAAAAAAGAAGGAAATCTTACCACTTGGGACACCATGGATGGTTCTGAAGAGAATTATGTTAAGTGAAATAAGCCAGTAAGAAAGAGACCAGTATCATATGATTTCACTCATATGTGGAATCTAATGAACAAAAGAACTCACAAGTAAAACAGTGGTCAACACAGAGATAAAGAGCAGGCTGTCAGCTGTGTGGAAGTATAGAGGGATTGGGGGGAAAAAGAGATCAAAAACACATGGACACAAACGATAGTGTGGCAACTGCTTGGGGGAGTGAAAGCAGATGGAGAAGGGTATAGAGGGATAAATGGCAATGGATAGAGACTTGTTTTGGTGTAATGAACACACAACATTGATAGATACAACAGGATACAGATGATGTGCTGTGGAACTGTGCACCTGAAACCTGTATAATTTTGTTAACCAGTGTCACCCCAATAAATTCCATAAAAAGGATGAAAAAAAGTAGTGATGAAAGCCTATGTGAGCTAAGGGATTTCAGCAAAAAGATACATACTAGAATAACAGGGGGCAAAGAGTTTATTTAAAGAAATAAAGCATAGAACATTCCAAATCTGGGGAAAGCAGGTTAGTGGTTGCTTAGTGCTGGAGGTGGGTGGGAGGAAGAGGAGGAGATGGAGAATGACTCTTAATGGTTATAAAGTATCTTTGAGGGGGAAATAAAAATGCTTCAAAATTAGGTTATGGTGATACTGTACTCTGTAAATAAACTAAAAGCCACTACTTTATACTTTAACAAGTGAACATATGATATGTGAGCAATATATACATCAATAAATCTATATAAAATGCAGTTTCTTAATCTACATCTTTTTAGGGTTCAATACATTCATGATTTTAGTAACACATGTAACTGGCATTTGCATGTATCACTGTCATAACATTCTTTGCTCTCTATTTGTCCAAAGTTTCATGTGTTTGTCCTGGAATAGTAACTATATAACTATTTTTTTATTGTTTTAGTGGTTACCTTTTATCATTACTGTGTTTATTTCATTCCC